TTGTAGTTTGAGGTTGATGTTGGTCGTTGCCAGGATGCCAACTTGATGTGTTGTGAAGGAAAGAGGAGCTGGCGTTGCAATGTTGTTCGGGCATGTCAAAGGTCCAGTGCAGGCATTGCGTGTCTGCCGGCTGAGTCTGATATTAGTAACCCTCCATAATAATTACTAACGTAGTGTACGGGAAAGGTTATGGACGACGTGCAGGCAGCCAGTAGGGACGGAATGCCACGAGTCGAATGTTGGCAAGGAGCCAGAAGTAAGAGGCGAGAGAGAGAGAGAAGGAAAGTTTCCAACTATTGTCAAGTTGACAGACAAAAAGAAATGGGAGCGTAACTTAATACACAGCCTGGTGGTCGACGTCCTGGCCATGGAGGCCAGGAGCCTGCATACCGACCGTTTCAGTCGCCGACCCTAAATTTAGCAAGAAGTCACTGTCTTTTGGTAAGGGAGACTAGCAAGAGAATTGGTAAGCTAACACAGTAAAGTCTATCTAAAAAAATGAGTAGAGCTTAGCTAAAAGAAAACCAAAGCTTAAAAATGCCTAGAAGTATATTAAGACTAGATTCGTAATATAACTAAACTGAAAAGGTAACTTGCTAGTCTCTACCTCAGGTTAACAGCGTGTAGAGAGCACAACCGAAAGGTCAAGGTCGAAATGACCTGTTTCTCTTCCGGTTTAAGGAGCCAAAGGTGAGCTAACTCCGACAAGCTCAATGTCCAGGACGGAGCAAGAATATAAAAGGCTCAAACACTAATATTCCATGGTTATAATTTATTACATTGGAATTGTAATCATGATCCAATTCATCAGGCCTAAAAATTCAAAAAGAAATCGGAAAATATTTTCCAATTTCTTTTTGAATTTGTAGATTTCAAATTTATTTGTTGTGATATTTATGTATGTACTTTTTTTAGGAATAAATTATAATCCCCCGTCTTAAAGATATATATATATATATATATATATATATATATATATATATATATAACCACTCATATTCAAAGAAACAGGCACCTACCCAATCCCTATTGCAGACGCTTGCTCAGGCACATTTGCATTTATTCAACACCCACAGAGTCCACCTGAGGTTTATACTGCAACTATGCTGAGCAGCCCTTAGTTACAGTTTCTGGGAATGAGTGTGTTATCTAGCGTGGTCAACAATTTGAACAAGGTCATTGCACTCAAGCCTTCAGCCATGATGACTTGTGACTTTATGCTAGCACAGCTATCAACAGCCCCTGAGGGTTCCGTCTACCCAATTTCACTCACAAGGTTTGGGTCAATCTGTGGTTTTCAGGCACTTTCCAAAGATGCTGCACACTGAGATCGACTCCTCCATGATGATAACATTAGGAAGTCTCTTTCCTGACAAATCGACCATGGTGAGATTTGAACCCAGGAGTCATAGAATGCAAATATTCTAACCACGTGGCTATATATATATATATATATATATATATATATATATATATACACACACACACACACACCTGTTGATAATGCAAGACTCTCATAGCAATTGAGTTCTCTGAGTGATTGGTGTGTTTATGAAAAAATAAATACGTAAAAATTTGCCTTTTTCTCTGCCAGGTGTCGATGGCCTAGGGGTTAGAATCTCTGACTGATACCAAATCGGTCGGGTTTCAGTCCTGGTCCTGGTATACAGCAAAACAAGCTCATCCGACTGATTATATACCAAAAAAATTTTTCAAATTAAAATTAAAAATTTTGTGCACATGTGTAGTCACACCAACTTAACAGATTTAGTCCAGTGAAGACCTAAAGGACAAAACATATCGCATGCAAACTTTTTTCCACTTTGTCATACATATATATATATATATATATATATATATACACACAGTGTAACCTGGATATAAGAGACCCGGATATAAGAGAGATTTTCTCTGGTCCCAAAGTGTTCCCATACTTACCTAAACAAAATAGACCAAACCCGGATATAAGAGACTTCTTCTCTGGTCCCGACAACTCTCATATATCCGGGTTACACTGTATATATGGCCTGGTCATTGTGTTTAGCATAAAACAGACTGTTTCCTTTGTGTGTTGACTTCAATGTCCACTTTTATATTTACATATGCTCTGTCCCTGATATTGTATTGTGCACTTTAACCAATAGCATGCCATAAAACTATATTTCATCATATATATTGTGTATTTATCCAGCAATCCCTGTTTCATGCAAGTTTCATTGAAAATGACTGACAAGTTGCAATAGCTGAGTTTTTTGTCCAAATGTTTTCAGTGTTTTCGGTTATATTTTTAGTCATTATCAAGGATGACTTTTGTTTAACTGAATATTTGGATTGTTTTATTCATATATCTAGAGTTACGTAATTAGGGTAATATTTTTTATTATTTACGAATTTACATGGCCGTTAAGGAACTGTGTTCCTGACAAATCCAAATTTGTAAATAATTATATTGCATATGCTACAACATGTTTAACAAGGCTCCTGTTATATTTCATAGCTGAATTAGATTTCATTTAAATCCATATGGAGACCTACCAAACTTTATCTGTAACATTCTCGTTGATATTATAAATATAATAATCTCATCCACATACAAAAAGGCTACAAATAATGGAAGCATTATTAATAAAAAAGAAAAAGTCAACACTCCATAATATCAACTATGAACACAGCCCCAATACGCTGACCATGTTTGGAAAATAAAACATTCCTATAGCTCTTGATACTTGATGTGTACATGTATTTACTACCCCTGGTTCTCCAGTGACCACCATGAAAAGATGGTGATGACCATGATCATGCAGTGACATCCGTGATAGAGCTGTGGGGTGTGAGCTGCCCGCCCTGAGGTTTCACAAGAAGCAGCATCTATAAATATATTAAATCTATCTATGTCATTTGTGGTTAAGCCCATCTGGACAAAGTGTTTTGAGGTGCAAAATCCATTTGTCTTCATGTTCTTCTAATATTTTTATAAGCTTATTTTTCCTGTCTTTTTTTATTTTTTCAATTAGGGAGCTGACTTGATCCGATTCTGATAATTATTTATTCTGTAGTGAAAGGGTCATTCAGATTTTCCCACATATTGTTTCTGGCATAGTGTACATTCTAATAGGTAAATTATGTTATGACTTCTACAGTTAGATTTGCGGTAGATTTTGAAAGTAGATTTAGTGACTGAGCTAGTGAACGAATTGGTATGTCTGATGTGGTTACGACATAAGCTCATTTTATTGTTACATGGTTGGGAAAAATCCTGTTGTTTTTATTTTTGGTCTATTACGGGTTACCTTATCTGAAATTTGGTTACTACCTTTAATTTCCTTAGGGTTCTTACGTCTATGATATGCTAGAAGACTGGGTTCCTCAAAGTTTTTAGATCAGTTTAGGAGAAAGAAAACCTTGAATTAAAACCCTCGTAAATAATAAGGCAGACTAGACTCTTTAGCCTTGTTAGGGTAACAAGTCTATGAGAATGACAAATCTGAATTCAAAACAAACCTAAACGGGCTTTGTTTGGCTACCTTATTCTAGACACATCCATTGTTGTTGTGTTTATGCTCCTATTTGATGACAGATTTTGAGTTCAAGTCTTGTTTGGCATTATTTCTGAATTCTTGTAATTCTTTATATTTTGCTATTATCAGTGGATTTGGTTTGTAAAATTTCTACAAAGAAAAGCATGTCAGCAATCATTTTGAAATATGTTGTGACCTGCAAGTGGACATTTTTTAAACATTCCCCCAAAACATATTTGATAGACCTTAATAAATAATCTTGATAATATAGAGGAGACTTAAATAGTTTTTAGATGTGTACATGAAATAAGCTTTGGAGTAAAGGGCTGTCAAAAATACTTTTGATGCAACCCCATGTTTAAATATTCAATTCATGAATTTACTTTTTTTGTAGATTTATTAGTTTGTGCCTATTTGTGTCAGGAATCTCAATTGTATTATTTTTATACTGTCTTTTATTATTTGTATACTGTCTTTTATTATTTTTATACTGTCTTTTATTATTTTTATACTATCTTTTTTAAAGTCTGTCTATATTTCTGAGATGTGGTATTATGTACATTATTTACATTATTCGGACTGTCCTCATCTTTGTCGCCATATTTATCACAACGTTTTGGCCATTGTATGCTCCGGCCTTCTTCAGGTGGTTGGAATTTCCTCAAGGACACATGGCACAATGGATAAAGGCATTGGTTAGATCCAGTGACAGGACCCAAAGAGTGTGAGTTCAATACCCAGTTAAGGCAGTGGAGAACTTTCAGAGGGAAATTAGCAGGAGATAACTGACATCAATCAAACATGGCACGTGGAACTAGAACAGTCTACCCCAGTGAGTGAAATAAAGGGTTCAGTTCGAAATTCCAACCACCTGAAGAAAGCCGGAGCGTACAACGGCTGAAACATTGTGATAAATATGGCGACAAAGATGAGGACAATAGTCCGAATAATGTAAATAATGTATCTTTTTTAAATACTGTATTTTAATTTTTTAATGCTTTCTTTATTAAATACTGTCTTTTAATTTTTTTTAAATACTATCTTTTTAAAAAAATTTACTATCTTAAATTTTGTTTTAATTTTAAAAAAATACTACTTTTTTTAAATACTCTTACTTTTTTTTAAAAAATGCTCTTTTAATTTTTCTTTTAAATACTCTTAATTTTTTAAAAAAAAACTCAATTTTTTTTATAATGATTTATTTTTTTAATGTTGTCTTTTACTTAACATTATTTTATTTATTTCTGTTATTTTTATTCCTTAAATGGCTTTTCCTGCATTTTTGCAAATCTATGGCTTCCACTCATGAGTTGTTGTCCTCACCCCAACAAATTCTAAGTTTAAAAGGTCGTAGTTTTTGTAATTACTGCTTTTAAAATGTGCACTTAACACTGAGTGTCTTAGAAACGAGAAATGTTTTTCTCTCTTCAGTCTGTTCTTTTTCAAATTCCGCCTCATTTGATTGTTTTCATTTCATTTCAGTGTTGAAATTACCAGTCCACCAAGTTATCAGAACAGATGGCTGCAAATATTTTTGGCTGTATACTGCATAATTGTAACGGCCGTGAGTAATTACAGATATATTTAAGGTTTTTGACATTTTAAAAGTATTGTAAAATTGCAAAATTACCATGCATTTGCCTGGGAGCTAAAAATAATTTAAGATCTGAATAAATTATGGTTTGTTTTTTTAATTTAAAAGTAACCTGAAGATATGTGGACTTGTTTAAAATTGTGTTGGTGTAAAAGTTCCCTTTTGGATTGAGAATTGTTGATCACATCCAACTAAAACACTGACTATTCTCAAGAGATTTTGGATTCATCAACACCTCATTGATGGATCCTGTCGGTGTCAGATGGATATTTCCAAATTCTAAATGTTGCACAGTTGTCATTTCATGTGAAGAATTTTGAATCCCTTTTTATTTCTAAACATCAACTGTCTCTTTATTTACATGCAGACTATTGTCCTTATCTCTGTTGTTGTTATCATGCAAGAGTAAGCTTGATCGACTCTGGAATGTCCCACAGGACAATAACTTAGGGGATTAAAAATATTGGTTTGTGAATTTGGTGACATAGTAATTGTGAGTTCAATCCCTGGGTTGGGTAGTGTCTTTATCAACAGTATAATAAATATATTGCAATGAATTCTATTCTGCAGGAACTTCAGTGGACTAAATTTATATTTATGTTGATGTGATGACACGTACATGAAAGAAATAGGAGAGGCTAAGAAATAAAATTTTTTTTTTTTTAGTCTGATGAAGTCCTAAAGGTCACTGTTCTGGGTATGACAATAAACTACATCTGGCAGCAAGGCCTCTGATCAGGGGGTTTTGGGGAGCATGGAACCACCTCTTAATTGTTGTTGTTCCCAGGTTCACCCTGAACCCTAATATGAAGGTTTGCACAAAGTAATCTTTTGTAGCTCTGTGATGCTGATGCGTCCTGGAATTTTACTTGCATGATTTTCGGTACCCTTCTTGCCCAATGCCCCTATCACTACAGGGATAGGAACAACCTCTTAATTGCCATCGTTCTCAGGGTGGTAGCACCTGTTAGGGTACCAGCTATGGGCAAATGGTTAACCCCCAAACTGGGGTCAAAGCACTATAAAAGTATAAAAATACACTTTCATAGTAACAATACCAGCACTACAATTTTGTAAATGAAATTACTAATGCTCCTAAGGAAATTAAATTTCAGCATTAAATGACCCATAAGGAATTGATATGCCACAAATCAAACAAACTTCAAACTCATTTTAAAGAAAGAAACAAATTGCACAAAAAAATCTTTTTCCACTTTGTCATACTTTTTCCTTCTAAAAGTGTTCTTGATATATAAAAAAAAAAAAACTTTATATATAGTTTTATTCTGTAAGTATTCATTTAAATCATTCATATTGAATTCAACCGATGAGGTCTGAACAAATGTTTTTGGAAATTCGGAATGAGTCAGTAGAACGTTGCTTTAATGTGATACTCTTCGCGGTCAAGCAGTAAAATTAGATAGATTATATACCCAAAACATTTAATAAAATTAAATTGAAAATTCTCAATGTCCCCTCTCTTCCATGCACATGTGTAGTTGCATCAATTTAAACATCAATTTAGTCTGATAAAATGAGTCATACAAAATACTTTTTCACTTTGTCATACTTTTTCCCATTAAAATTGTTCTTGATATATATATATATATATATATATAAAAATCATAGATCATTTTCCTGTGGGTATATATATATATATATATATATATATAAAAAATCATAGATCATTTTCCTGTGGGTATATATATATATATATATATATATATATATATATAGTGTATATTTAGGCAACAATTTTTCATTAATGCATGTTTCATTAAATAATATAGACAAGTTTTGTCTATTTATTCCTTTCATATTGTCTGATAAGCTTAATCACATTATCATTGAAAGACGAAAGGAAATCACCATATTGATACATGTTTAAATTCAATCTAAGCTTTCAGCCTACATAAGCCATTATCAAAGATGACAATTACATTTCAATTTATCAACCAATACACGGATGAAACAATAATGATAGTCTGTTTTTATTGCATGAAAAATTTCAAAGCAACGACAAACTTGTGTAACAAACCCTGTTTTATCCTCAAGTGAAAGTTTAGGAATAACCTTAGGTTATTCCTAAACTTTTGCTTGAGGATGAAATAGAGCTTGTTACTTTAATTCAACTTAATATTAATAATATATATCAGTTTGTCTGATGATCGCTAAAGCGTGAAACTCACATCTATACAAACAAATATATATATATATATATATATATATATATATATATTTTTCCTTAAATTCTCATATACTGTCTCCTTGAATTCTAGTCTTCTTAATGTTCTTTCTCTCCTCATTTTCTCTGTTTCTTTTGCTCCCAGTAACCCTTTGTTAATGAACATGTCTTTATTGAATATTATTACAAATATTGGATCGTTTCTTGGCCTATGGCTGAGATTCGATCAAGGCTTTGACTAGCTTGGACTGGCTCCGGCCTGGACTTGCTAGGACAAGTCATGACCAGCTTTGACTAGGCTCTGACCAGCTTGGACAAGCTATGACCAGTTTTGGACCAGTGGCCCTTGAGTGGAAACACTCGGGTCTCCCACATTAAACGACCTTGTGTCACATCTTGACTTTGTGGGAGTCAAGTAAATACCATACCATTGAATATTATAGCTCTACTTATCTATTCAGCACTTTTTGCCGGATGTTCTCATAGCTGAGGGTAGTAAATGGATTGTTGTGCATAAGTGAATCCAATGAACCAATCTGGGATTTGAACTTGGCTCTTTGATTTCTCATTCTTAGCCATTACTTTTTATACCACCTACACACATAGTGGCTCAGATTGAGGAATCTGAGAGCCAAGTTTGAATTCCAGTCAAATCCATTACATTCACTTACATGCTAATACCCTTAGGAAAGGTATGAATCCTCTTTTTCTCCCACCAGCTATGGGTAAATAACAGGACAGACTGGGTTGTATAGCCTTGGATGGCAACCAGTCTACCACAGAAAGAAATGGCAATCTACCGTGGGGATAAAAAATCTGCTTTGTCATTCATTTATCAAAAGATACATGATCACCTAAGCATGTATCATGCATGGCACGTAACTGAATATATACATATATATATATATGTGTGTGTGTGTTTGTGTGAAATTGGAGCTCATTCTCGCACAAATTCTGAGGTTTAAAGGCCCCAATTTTACTTTGTAGTAATATTCACACTAAACACACAATATCTAATATATTATGTACTTATAGGTGATATCACTTTTCAGGTTTAATTAATTTGCATATTGATTTTTAAAATGTATATTTCATTAATTAACTGTCCTTCGTTACTGTTCTTTTATTTGAGGATTGTTTTGATTTTCATATCAAAAATAGTTCCGTTTAGGAATATCATCTTATATAGTGCAGAAAAGTGTTTGAAATTTGCATTTTACTTAGCCTTAAACAAATTGGCATCTATTTGTAAATCTTTCCTTAACTATAACAAGCCTACCCCCACACCTGACCAATTCTTCTGTCTTTACAGTCATATTCTTTGAACAAATATATTGAATGTCCAAAATCCCTTCAACATTTCATAAATAGTGATCATTAATTGACTTATCTTCATTGGACAACTCAAGGTTTATACTAAAAAAATTGAATTATCAATGGGTTCACTTCTGAGTGGGCTTGTAACTTGAATTTGGACATTTCCAGAGCATTTTACCTAAACAAACAATATATTTATGATATATTGTTGATTGCAAAACTATATTACCTGACCTTGTAGATAAACTAAACAAAGCCAAACACATAATAGAATTTATTTATGAATCAGAAGCAAATAACACTTTACCTTACTAACAATGACCATCCTGGGTATGATGATAAACTACATCTGCGTTCTGGGTAAGACAATAAACTATGTCCAACAGCAAGGCCTCTGATCAGAAGGTTTTTAGGAGCGTGTAACCACCTCTTAATTGCTGGTGTTTCCAGGTCCCCCCCTGACCCGAGGTGGTAGCACCTGTTAGGGTCCCAGCTATGGGCAAATAGTTAACCCCCAAAACTGTGGTAAAAACATTATAAAAGTGTAAAAACAGGTTTTAATACCAGAAATACTTTGTAAAGAAATTATTTCCAGCAATAAATTTTTGAAGAAAAAAACTATTATCAGCTCTATATTTTTGAGGAAAAAATATTACCAGCAATAGTTTTTTGAAAAAAATTATTACCAGCAACACATTTTTGAAAAAAAAAAATTATTACCAGGAATAGATTTTAGACAAAATAAAATATTACCAGTGATGAAAATTTTGTCGGCATTACATATAACCCATTCGGGTTGATATGCCGTAAAACAAACCAAAGAAACTTACTAACAATGACCTAAAATTAAGTGACCATCAAAAATCTTACTTATTATAAAACGCAGATTGTGTGTGTGTGTGTGTGTGTGTGTGTCTGTACGTTTATATATTGGATCGAATTTCCTACATTTTTCAACCGATTTCAACAAAACTTCGCAGGACTACGTAAAATTACCTTGCGTTGGTTCTGACAGTGCCAAAAATTGGAAAAACAATTGTTTTTGCATGAAATCAATTTGAAAACATGATTAACAGGCATTAATGAAAGGAGGACAACTCATATCGAGTTATACTTATTATAAAACCCAGGTTGGTTGTTTGTGTGTGTGTGTGTGTTCCTTTATATATGGGATCGGATTTCCTACATTTTTCAACCGATTTCAATAAAACTTCACTTTTTTTTGGCAGGTAGTGTTTCTTATTGTCTTGCACACTTTTTTCTTTATTTTTACATTCAGAATGCTTTAAAAATTCCATTTACAAGACAATTGTTTATAATAAAATTCTATTCAATCGGTAGACTCATAACAATTAAAAACAATGTTTTTGTTTGAGTTTGGGTTTGACCAATTCGTAAAAAGAAAAAAAAAAAAAAACTAATTAAGACATGTGTATCCGTCAACCTTAAACAATAATCTTTGTCAATT